GGCTGAATGAAAACCACTCTTTTACCGTAAAGGTTGGTTCAGAGGTTACAAATCATAGGATCTTCACTGGGTACCGTGGTAAACAGCAATAGCAGCAATAGCAGCAATAGCAGCTTATTAATTGTTTATCTTTAGCCGCTAGCCTCAAATGGGCGAACATCTCACCTTCGGCTGAAGTTTGCAAATTTGATTTAATTGTGTCTTTGGTGACATATTGTATAGTGCAATTTTGATATGCACAGGTGAATGGCTGTTAGTGTTGTTAAATTCATCTACAAAGTTGTTCCAACCCATCTTTTCAGCGTCAGGACCAGGGTGCAGGTGATCACGGATGGGATTCTGGCAAGGCAACTGCAGGTGCCGTGATTGGTGAAGGGTAGGCAGCTTTGCATGGGCGTTTCTTTGGCTAGAACTGCGGAAATATAGTACATCATACCTATATAGATATAGAATATGCTATCATGTCACTCATCATTGTGTGCTCCTGTTGTTCTTGTCCATAATTAGCCGCATGGTTTTATATGTCCTGCCGAACTCACTCAAATGGTCCCAATGTATAGTTCCCAAGAAGTGCGATGATTTCAGAGTTTGGTTGGAATTATTGCCTGAAAAAGGATGACCATTGAAGGGATTTGCGGGTAATTCCCTAATTTTCGGATCGCCCCAATGTCCAATCACCTTTGATCTGTGGAATCTGATCCCTGCAAAATTGGACACTCTAAGGACCCTAGTTGTGTTTGGCGGCGTATCTTCACCCATTCAATTGTAGATACGTATATTCAGCATCCAACTGTTTATAGCATCTACAATCCGATTCACTGGGGGTCCCTACATTGTAGACTAACAAGCTTCCTATGGCGATAGTTTCTGGATGGCGACCTGGGCGACCTGTCGTAGTCCTGCGTCGAACCCGCTGCTTGATCACAGAATCGGTCCATTTATCCATGGAATAACCCAACTAATTTGGTCAACCCAATAGGATCCGCCATTCCCAAATCATCAATGATCATAAATGGGTGCTCCGTTACCATCCACAAATGATAGATTATAGTATTGGGTTTCCCACAGTAGGGGGATTTGTTTAACCGGGGTTAGTGTACCCAGTCACTGTAGGTGCACTGATCCTCCCCAGCACCTTTGGCTCGAAAAAACTCCGCTGGGAGCCGGCAATGCAAGTGGCATAAGGGCATGTACAACGGGATATTACTGGGATATATAATGATATGTATATATATATATTATATACCTGCATAAATTTCATCACGGCCTCACACACTATCCCAAAGTAGCTGCAATATGCCTTGCCTTACAGTTCACATTGAATTACTATCCAGATAGATGAAACATGCACTGCGTTCCAGTACATATTGGGTTGCATTGTGCCGATGGTCTCGGGGTAAATGCGTTCGATTTGTCAGCTCCCACTATTCGATCCGAAGCTAGTTACAGACGAAGTGGCAGTCCACTTTGCTTGTTTTGTTGACCCGCACGCACAAGCCGAGACCTGCGTTTTCAATCGGACACACACAACTTGACAAACCACTGTGCACTCCTACAAGGTAATGCCTCCCCACCGATAATGTCTGAATAAATTCTAACGACTTCACTGCGACCTCGCTGGGCTAATGGTTAGTAAGGGGAAAAATCCCTAATTCACCTTCTTTCAGGTTAGTGAGTTATGCTTTGCCCAGATAATGGTTTGTAAAGCCAGTTACGCATCTACAGTATATATCATACCTCACAAGAATCATCCTTAGCAAAGACAGTCGCTACCCAACTATGGTCCAGCCATGGAGTTCCTTGCCACATGGCAGCTGGGTGCACCAGTGATGATTTTTGTCGGATTGGTGTTCTGTAGAAATCCGGAAAATTCCAAGATACAGAGGACTACATAGTATCATATCGTCATCATCTGGACATATCATAATAATTCATAATATATGTAGCACACACCATATCATAATCCATCATATATATATATAACTATATAGATACTACATCACACTACAGAATATTACATATGATGTCATACGAGATACGTTTAATGTATGCTACTATTGGTAAAGCCAGTAGAAAACACGTGTCCTCGGGTTTACCAACAGCGAGGTGAGGACGTTGACGCTGGCACCCCTGGCCCTGGCAGTTGCTGAGCCACAGACCCGAGGCCTCGGTTTTTTCCCTGGAGAAAATGTGTATGGTACCATGGTACCCTTCCAAAAAAGATAGAAACCTTGAAAACCTGGTATGTCAATGTATTTTATACCATCCTGGAAATACGTTTCTATCTTTTTGGGGGGTGCTATGTATATATATATATATAGATAAATCAGATCACGAACTCACCGATATCACCAGAATGATGAAGTCGCGGGCCTTGATTTTAGGATCGACCAAGCCATGGACCTTTGGACCTTGAATTTGAATCGCAGCCATACGGGCAATGAAATTAAATAAATCATCCTTAGGTAGGAGATTCACAATAATGAATCACAAGTTGGGATGGATGATGATGGATTTTTATTGGTCAGGGGGATCGGTCAGGCGTTCCAGAGCCCGCAGTGTGCGCGGCCCTGGGACCTTTGGGCATTTATGAGGCTTGGAGAAATTCATAGGTCAAGACCCTGGTATGGTGAAAACATGTGAAAACTAAAAATCACCTGTAAATGGATGTTCATTATATATAAATATATTATATACCCCACACATGATACAATATAGGTTATGATTCGTCCTGGTCTGAAGCATGTTGGAGACTTGTCCGTCGTTTTCCGTCCGCTGTTAGGAGGAGGGGAGCAACAGAACTGTTAGGCTGTTAGGCTCCCTGTTTTTCACGAGAAAAATGATGAGCCTATTATTCCCAGACCCAGGGACATTTTGAACATGTTTGAACATTAATCGCAGCGAGATGGGAGGAAGGTTAGCGATTCGGGATTCGACCGGGAGATCAGAGGGATGGTACTTGGAGTTTCGAAAACATGGTTCCACAGTTCCTGAACCATTGGGGTTCTTGTTTCAAAACTGATCAAACAACACTGCTGACATTTGCTGACTATATTGTTTCTTTATGTGTCTTTGCTGATCCAAATTTTGAAGCTCAAATAAAAGTAACAATCCAATCAGATTGGATTTACATATCTAGATCTATAGATCTATCTAGCAAGATCATGGGAGAGTTGTCGCCAAGGAGCAGATCTTCCGCGACATCGGGCGCTATGCGAATCTGGACCTGCAACGTCTGGCTCTGTACGATGGCTTCTGCCTTCGGCGACGCAGGGCCTGTATTCGACTGCGAGTGGTGGATGGAATTCCCTACGTTTTAGACATGTTTCTCGGAGGTTTTTGAGTTGATGTTGATCATATTTTTAAATTCGACTGCAGTGTAACTGTGGGATACATAAGACATCATAAGACAATAATGACTGGCATTCCATGTTTGAGTAGTCGGCTGTTAGATAGTTCCGAACGACATAGGAGAATCCACCCTGCCCTGAGGAATGAAATGTGCGTGTTCCCCCCACCAAGCACCAATATCCTAGATGTGGAGGTTTCCTTTTCGCAGAGCACCGTTTTTGTCACGGCAAGTAATTTGCGCACAGAGTTCATCTGAAGATGTGTTAACATTTCCGAATTTCCTCAAGCTAATAGTCACAGCTGGAGCTGAAAAACTCGCCTTTCGTTGCTTGTATTCCGATGTGCTTTGCTTGAAATTGGGTCAAAGTCCTCATTCTTTTGGGTGTAAATCACCTTAAAACATCTGCAAAAACTCAGATTTCATCATGAATCATCTGTCATTTCAGTTGTGGAATCGCGGTCAGGTTTCCAGGTTACCAAAGTCGTTCCTTGGAAAAGACGGGCGGATTCGGACCTGGGAGTTTTCCAAACACGACTGTTGGTTGATGATTTGTTTGGGGGTTATACTACCTGGTTGATGGTTTGGAACATTTTTTTATGTTTCCTTATTTTGGGAATAATTATCCATAATCATCCCAACTGACTAATAATTAATATGTTTTTTAGAGGGGTAGGTCAACCACCAACCAGTCAATATATTGAATATTATCATCATCCATGACTGGAATCCCATGGAATCCCCATGAACTAACTTGGCTGGCGATCCGGGCAGGGAAGATCCCAGTCATGTGGGGGCCCAGACCTGCAGCAATGGTTGACGGCTGCTGGGTGTTCATTGAGGTGTTGCGCCTTTGAAGTGCAGTTCCTGCCATAAGAGGACATTAATAAAACTAAATGATTATAAATGTAAATATAAATATATATTATATATATATATTTATACACCATAGTTTTAGGGCTTTTAACCCAACCTTTGGATGGTATTACGAGAGTTGCATGGTTGTAGTCATCCTGGAGTAGATATGGGACTGGCCAAAAACAAACGCTAAAATGAGAATATCTTTGAACACCCTAGGTCACCGCAGCATCCTACACGCCCTCTGGCGGGTGCTTGTGCGCTTTGGGCCGCTCCCCAATCTCGAGGCGTTTTTTCCAGAATTTTCAGAATTTTCCAGGTTCGCCACCCAAAAATATGAAACTCTTCAAGTTTGCCAAAAAAAGGAACTTTTTTCAGTGTTGCTCCAGCCCACTAGAAGTGATTCTACATCCTTAACCCGCCATTGAACTCCTCAAACATATTCTATCTGGGGTGCTGGGAGCCCTGTCAAACTGGTAGGTGACCATTGATGTGACTGACGGCGAGCTTCAAAACATCGATTTGCCCATCTTGGTAATCACACACAAGAAAGAGGTGCCGGGGAATGCCTGGTAACCGGTATTTTGATGTATTTTGGGTGACATTCACCACCAAGAATTGGCGAAACCATTGATATATTACATAAGCAATAGTATCTGGCAATGAACATATTACTGAAAAAAATACGTGGGTTCATGTTTGTTTTCAGCCATGTGAATGTCATGATGATCACCGCTGACCAGTATCATCATGGCAACACTGCACTTGACCTTGCCCACTTGATTTCTAGAGTTTAATTTGTCACATAAAATAGGTTGCTCACCAGGCTCACCCGTATTTTATATAGGTTTGTCTAAAAATGCGGACCGCCCCACTAGAGTTGCAATATAGAACCAGCTGAATTTATGGGGTACCCATGGCCAACACAGGGTGGACTAGTGCACTCTTCGGCACGGCACTGACCTGTCCCGGATGCATGTCCCAAAGGAAGAGAAATGGAGCATCCCAAAAAATGTTATTCAATTCAATGATATTAATTACAGTTGGTATGACATCGTTATACTATTGCTATTATAATACATATGACATATATATACATATATTTTATATATTGCCAATGCATTGCTATTACTCTAGTATATTGACATGATAATATATTATATACGGCCAAAAAAAAAACACATCGTCAGAAAACCTCAGAAAACCTTCAGACTCTTCAGACTCGGATCGGATCGGACGATCGAACAGAGGAGCCTCGCGGAATTCTTTATCCCGACTTCACCTTCTATTCCTGGCCCGAATCCACGTGTCCTCCCGAGATATCACACGACTACAGCCCCACAGCCAAAAGCCGAGATCGGGCACACTACAGTTATGACCGTTGGATCAAGAACACGTGCGTTCTGAGAGTTCTATTGGATTAACTGACCATGAGAATGTATGGAAGTCATGAAATGGCGACTAGTGGATACAGATTTGAAATGAAGGTTGACAAGTTGACCGAACTTCTGCAGGTGATATGGCCAGCCGGGAACGATGTGAAATTCCGGAAAGGTGTATTTACGAGGGTTCTCATGTGGAAGAACCAAATGACTCACGCAGGACAGGACCCCTTTCAACACACTCTCAGCCAGCTTTTAACCTCGTTATGAAACTGCTTGTGCTAAGCTGCGAAAGGATAGAACATTATATTTATCACCATTGAAGGTTTTATGTTTCTATCTTACGATAGACCAGTGGTTTGAGTTGTAGGTATACAGGTATACCCCCCAAATGGCCATTTGCCTAGAGACAATGATGATTACATAACTAGTCAGTGGATGTTCTTAATTTCTCGGTACCAGTTAGCCAGTTGCCAGCTGCCTGAAAGTCACCAGACTACCAGACTTCTCACTGCCATCCTGAGGTTATCTCTATGATCGATTTAAGCATTGGCATCATCGGCATGCACCGTAGCGTTCGCTCGCTTTGGTCCGCCGGGGAAGCCACGATGGGTAACCCAAGTTTCAGAGACACAGACAGGGAAGCCCACGAGTTGTGTAGGACCCTATGGGATATGGCTCACAAAAAACCTGATCCGCATTTTGGGAAAATAGCGAAAAAAACATATGTGCTTGTGCCCTGATGGTTTAAGCCATACCCATGTAATCCCATATGCCTAAATATACAGTACTAATTCTGCAGTGGGTTGTCAAATAGATTGTCTTGAAAAAAAGGTTGCACCGAAATAGGGGATGTGTTTATCTCCCCCAGGATGACGAGGATGCTTCACTACCTCTTGCAAACGATTGCAACCGCATGTGAGAGCCTTGAAAATGCAAAACAAACAAAACTAGGTTTAGAAGATGATGTTCCCCACAATTCCCCACCATTTCCCACCTTTCTCCACCTGAACATCGCAGTCTTTCAGGGACATGTCCAACCGTGGGAGAATGACATGTATCGGATAGGAGTAAAGGCAGACTTGTTTATTGCCATGTCAGTGCTTCCAGGTTAAATCCAAGAGCACGGCGCTGCATTGGTATTCATTTTGCGGTCATGCTGGTAGATTGTGGGAAGAAAAAATCCGCTACCATCTTTGATGCTTCATTTCTTATCACTTTAAAAACAACAAATCTACAAAATCCTCAATAGCTTGATGATTTCCAAAGAGATTTTCCGGCTGCAAGAAACAATGTTTTCCATGGCAAGCTTAGATGCTACTGCTAGGGCTGGTCGGGGTTGTCTCTCCGAGATTTAACCGTTCAAACTAATTGAAGATACTGGTCTGCTTGGAGGTTACCCTTTCCTGTCATAAATATTTCATAAATAAGATATTATAACGTATTATAACGTATGATTCCACATATACAAATATTAATAATATAATATATATATATATATATATGGTTGATATATCCGTTTCCTCATGGTGGTTGCTATTTGTAGCAGCGGCTCTTTCAGAGGAATTTGCTCCCATCTGGGGCTTTTAAATTCGCGAAGATGCCTGAATATGGAGTTTACATTGATGAATCATGGGATTTGGGTTATTTACCCTATCTGGTTGGTGGTTTGGAACATGTTTTATTTTTCCATATATTGAGAATAATAATCCCAACCGACTAATATTTTTCAGAGGGGATGAAACCACCAACCAGCATGAGATTTGGGTTATTTCGCCTATTTTCAGACAGACCATGGCAGTTTTCATCGGATTTGCTGGAGTCCATTCCCATGTAGATGCCTATCCCTGATCCCCGATCCTATCGCTCGTGAAATGACCCATTTTTGAACGACCCTGGGTCAGCAGTAAAATCCTTCATATACTCTGCTGCAATCTGGATATCTCTAATCTTCCAACACCGAAAAATGGCAGGGTCTATGTTTAACTTCATATTATGTTATTCATATATAATATATCCCAATGTGTATACATATATATATATATACATACACTCCCCATGATCTTTAAATATATATATATATAATCATATTATATATAATATATACCTATTTCATCCTCCCAACTACGAAAGGGTCTGAAGCCTTGTGCTTAGGGCTCAATTTGTTTAGGGTCTAAACTGCTTTTTCTATCAGATTAGACCCTGGCCAGCTACCACCTCAGACCCTCAACATGTACATGCTGGAAAGTGAGAACTTCACTTTAGACCTTTTGCCTAACTCGTAGAGAACTTCATCTTAGACCCTTTGCTGGTTTTTGATCAACTTTGATGAGACGAACTTTGATGAGATGAACCACCACCCCTGAAGGGATCTAACTTGGGTACTCCTGGGAAAGTAGCTCACCACCCGGAAAGTGAACCACCACCCCTCAACCACCACTTACCTCTGCAAACTGAAATCTGACATGACATGTCTGCGTTCCAACAAAAAGGCCAAATGACACTAGCATATATCATCTGTGAAAAAACCTTTACGTAAGTCAAATTATGATAATCGGACTGATTGTAAAAAAATGTCTTTAGAAATTGTACATTGTACATGTGCTTCATGATTGTTTCAATGGCTGAGCTTGTCATGGTCCTCCTGGCCAACCCTGGGGGTCTAAGGTGAAATTGCCTATCTTTGGATTTGAATTTCCCAGGGGAAAAACACACAGCAAACCACAATAGACCCTGGATACAAAGGACATGATTAGCAACTGTTGAGTTAAGCAATAGAACATGTATATACATCTAACATTATTGTTTCAATGGCAACGACCCATAAACTTCATCACCAAAACAAACTTCTGTTCCGCTGAGCTTGTCATGGTCTTCCTGGCCAACCCTGGGGGTCTAAGGTGAAATTGCCTATCTTTGGATTTGAATTTCCCAGGGGAAAAACACACAGCAAACCACAATAGACCCTGGATACAAAGGACATGATTAGCAACTGTTGAACCAAACCACAACGTTAAGCAATAGAACATGTATATACATCTAACATTATTGTTTCAATGGCAACGACCCAAAAACTTCATCACCAAAACAAACTTCTGTTCCGCTGAGCTTGTCATGGTCTTCCTGGCCAACCCTGGGGGTCTAAGGTGAAATTGCCTATCTTTGGATTTGAATTTCCCAGGGGAAAAACACACAGCAAACCACAATAGACCCTGGATATTCATGTGAGACCCCTCGGCTACTCAGAAGCAGGGCTACTCAGAAGCAGGGCTACTCATAGAGCCTTGTCCAAAAAGGAGCCTTAAGTCCTGAACATTTGAAATTATACCTAAACATTCCCCAAAATTCAAAATCATTCTGACTTGTTTGCAGGAGTAAGTGGAGTAAGTTCACGCAAGGGAAAGTAGCTCACCTGAAGCTATTTGACGAAAAAAACATAGAAGTTCACAGCGCTAAGATGTGCTAAGCACGTGAAGGAAGAAGAGAAACTTGTTGCCGTTGCTGTTGCCGGGGCTGTTGTTGCTGACAACCAGCACCCAAGGGTCTAATGTGAAGTTTCCCGTTTCCGGAAACATACAACATCAGCATGTTGATGATCTCTGCTGGATCCCTATGGTAGGTCTGAGATGGTTGGTGCAAAATAGGTCTATTTGCATAGGGAACTTTCAATTCGACCCGGGTAAAAAGGTCTAATCTGAAATTACCTATAGTCCCTAGCTAGTAGTTGAGGGGATCCTATTTCCATATATGTCCCATGAAATGATCATTTGTTGATGCTGGCCAGGTGGTTGAACCGCAGCGACGTGGTCTTCTGGCGCGGCGCGCCGGTGGACGACAACCAGGCGCGACAACAGGTGGTGCAACGCTTCCGAGACGCTGGGCGTGGATTGAAAATGGCCCAGTAGAAATAGTGGATTTACCCATTGATAGCATGGTGGATCTTTCCAGTTCGTTACGTAAACGTTTACCACACGGTTTTGTGGAATATCGGAAATCATCGGATTTGGTGATCCCATCCATCTTTTTTGGTGAAATCCCATTAGATCCCATTATATAATCCAATATTTCATCGGATTTGGTGAGGTTTTTTTTATTGGGAAATCATGAGATCTTTTATGGAAAAATGCTGTCAGATGTTTCTGTGGCGACTTTCCCACAGGGAAATCCACCAAACATGGGAATCTATGGAACATATATATATATATATAATACATATACCCTCTGGTTATTTAACATAGCCATGGAAAACCACCATTTATAATAGGTAACCCCACTATAAATGGGCCATCTATACCATGGCTATGTTAAATAACCAGAGGATATATGTATTATTTTTTGGGGGTTGCTTAAGCAAATCCAATTCATGGTTCCAATCACTATTTATAACTATTTAAGATCTGCTTTCATGGTTCAACTATTCTGTTCCATGGATTCCATGGAGATATTTGATCATAGAACTTGAATTTTCCGCGGAAGTAATCTTATGAATAGCTAATATCATCTAATATTGGTGATACGATTGGTTATTTATTATGAACTAAGTGGATGATAATGCTATTGATTGATATCTAATGAAAGGGATGCAAACTGTAGTATTACAATTGTACTACTGGATGTCCATTGGATATATTACTGTATATCTAGTGATACTACTGGGTTTGGCGTGGCTCAAGGAAAAATACTCGGGAAACAACGGGTTCTACCTCCGAATTCATTTTGGGGGTCCTATAGTCCGTTAATTCTTTTAGCACTTCTTAGAGCCTTGGCAAATTGTAATGAAGAGACAATATGTATTTTGTTTGCCAAGAAAAACAATGGTTTTGACCGAAGGCACTGTGATTCTGCGAAGGTTTGTGAGCAAACCAAGAGACGGTTTTAAGCGCCAAAAACTGTGTATTTCATCCGAGCCGTATTCTGAAGCATTGGTTTTTTTGACCTTCCAAAGATGGATGTGAAGTTCATGCCTCGTGATTTCTTACCTGGGAGAATTCCAATGGGTCAGTGTTGCAGCTGCTTGTTAGTCACTCAAACTGGAGCAATCAGAAACAAAGTGAGTTGTGGTTGGCAAAGATTGTGACAAGGGCAAAAGATTGTGTTGAATCATTGATCAATCGAACCATGGTCAGTATGTAACCAACCCAATGTTGATTATGTAAACAACTGGGTCTTTGGATTTCAGATATTCCTTTCTTGGGGCCTTTCATTGCATGCCAAACATGATGGCATCATACCATCGAGTCAACAAGTCTGGTTGGCTGGAAATCCACAAAACAATATACATATATAATATCATATGGATTGAATTATGTTTGTTTAATATATAAAGCTATAATATATATGATTAGATTATGATTATTTGTTTGTTGTTCTTGACATGAATTTCTCGGGAGTTATTGGACCCTCAGACCCTCAACTTCCCGTGTATTTAGATGCTGATCCTGGCGATGTTCCATTGATCCCAAGATGATCTAGACAGGGTACCCAAACATCCCAAACCCACACCACATATTTCGCTTGAATCCTCGAAAAGGTTTACGTAACAACAAGTCACTTAGCCTTGGTTTAGCCTTGGTATACCACTTGTCTCAATATATTCTCAGATCATACAATAAATCATATACGAAATCTCTTTGGAGCCGGCGCGACGACTTAGGAAGTGGTCAACTCGGACGTGAAATTCATGTCCTGGTATCTCGCACGTATGCCTGGCCCTCGCATAACTGGTTTCACCCACCAAAGCCGGTACCTATCCGACAGAAATGGAGCTACTCTGAAAACTCATGTCGTGGATCCTCAGTGTTCTGAAACCTGAAACGTAAAGGAAAGGACGGTCATCCTCACGGATATGAAGACCCCCATTTCTTCGCTTATGTCTTTTGCCTTAATGTCAAATCTGGTCATTGCAAAAACTCGAGCCACAAATGGTGGTTTCATACAGAGTGATAATTTTATATAATTGTGTATGAATTTCCCATATATATATATTTATATAATTATATATATATATATATATTCATGTATATATATATATATATGTGTGTGTGTATTCTAATATATATATACATATTATTTATTTATATATATTTATATATGTATTCTATTTACATATATATATGTATAATTATATATACGTATCAAACAACTTTTAAACAAATGTTGTTTGAGAAAGAATACTGGTTTGATTTCTGTTGGTTTGTGTGGTTCGAGGTATAGGTACTCATCCGTGGCTCACTGCTTTGCTACAATTAAACATGCTCCCTCCAACCCGGACGTTGCTCCACACTTCAAGAGAATCATCATCATCATCATCATCATCATCACCATCATCATCATCATCATCATCATCTGTTTGGTGCTTGATAGGGAATGGGGGGAATGATCCAAAGGAGCCAATCCATATCCTCAACTTATCTTCATAAAGGGATCAAAATTTGCCACCCCCTCTGACTTATATGTTGATGATAAAAAGAACATGAACTTATCTTGTTGAGGGATCAAAGTCCACCACCTCCTCTGACTACTACGTTGACAGGGATCATTACATCAACTTATCTTCATAAAGGGATCAACATTAGCCACCCCCTCTGACTTATGTGTTGATGATAATAAGAACATGAACTTATCTTGTTGAGGGATCAAAATCCGCCACCCCCTCTGACTACTACGTTGACAGGGATCATTACATCAACTTATCTTGTTAAGGGATCAAAAATTGGCACCCCCTCTGACTTATATGTGATGTAATATATGATATATGTGCTATGTACTATTATATACTTCGGCCACTTCTGATTCCGACGCGGGGCAACGTAGGGGTTGCAGCGAACATGTTTGATCTACCTCATCAATGCTATCCTGAGGAAGGTTGTGTCATCCACGGGGGTGAACGAAGTTCAAGGACTGCTTTGTTTGGATCAGGGCTCGGTGAAGCTAAGAAGATGGGAATTGCAGAAAATATGGGGTTTTCCGGGAAGTCATGGGGGTACCCCTAACCATCGCTGGATGGTTTATGTATTTTATCCATCAATGGATGATAACTCGCAGTACCCCCATGACTTTTTTTTTTTTCGGACACCTCCCCTTCCTCCACATGAAGATTTTCCATGCATCGGCTTCGCAGGATGCGTGGGGCTTCTGGAGCAATGTCAATACCGCTATCTTGCTTTCTTAGCAGGCGTTGACTGGGCTGTTTGGATAGGTCAAAAAATGTTTCTCCAAAAATGAATCAATTTTTGATAATCAATAATATTTATATATGTGTTGTTTTGTCAGCCGTCCGCATAGTGGAAATGATGAAACATGATCTGTTTTTTGGGTCCTATTTTTGGGTGAAACCGCAAATCCAGATGGGTGAAAGTTGAAGGCTTCAATCGATCCTGGCAGCGAAAAACTGAAACCAAACATGAGGACCCCGAAGACCACCGAACTGGTCATTGTTTTCAGGGATGATCAAATAGCATTGGGTTTGCAACCACTTACCTAGGTTTAGGGGTCACATGTCACATAGAGTGATGAAATTGGCATGCGTACATGTCCGGAGCTTGGTGCAGGGCCGCAGCGCGAGGCACCACGTATTCCTCACGCATCAAGTACCAACTGCTCTGTGGTTCTTTAGTGCTTGCGCACGAACCAAGATTCTTGGCGCTCAAAAATGACCATCAGATATCATCAGATTGTAAAATGTTTAAAGTTGTTTTTCAGGCCATCAATTGAGGTTCAGGAGGCACAAATCAGTTGCCCAACACAGACCAGACCCTGAGAGGGGCCCAACACAGGAATGAATGTGCCGTGAATCTCGCATAGGTCAACGGTAAAGTTTGTTAAATGATGTCCAGTCAAACAAACTGCATTCTTTTGCACAGGCTACATTCAAGGCTTTTCATGCCACGAAGGGTACAGCCCCCTTGGAAAGGAAACGGCATGAGCAAAACTTCTCTGGCGAGCTTGCGTTGCCTAGGATTCATTGAGTGGTGGAGCCATTTGCTACTTCCAGGGGTACACTACGTTCCCTGGAGCAAGGGCAGGAGCATGTTGGTTCTTATCAGTCTTATCCGTTGTTGGGCCATTGACAATTCGAAGATATTTGATGATATTTCAAGGCCTTAAGAGATCAATTAATTTGGGAGGCTGCTTCTATAGGTTTCGATACTTTTGGGCAGCAGAATACATCATTTCATCCATTGATTTGAAGGAAACAAATACAGGAAACTTGTCTTTTCTACTCAAATCAAGGGGTTTCGAGTAAATGTTCCCTTCAACCAAGCCAGGGAACCATTCAATCCATCTGATGTGATCTATGCGAACCGTGCTGCCATGCTTAGCATCACGAACCCAAGCCCTTCGCCCCTTCTTGTTGCGACGTTTCTGTTATATATAATGGTTTATATTGACCAACGGATGAGTTTATGGTAGATACTGAAATATATCTAACTATATCAAACTAAAGGTCCCTGGGTTTATAAACCAAGACAACTGGGAGACATCATTACTTCCTCACCAAGAGCACTAACATAACTTGTTTTATCTTACCGTTTTCAGCCCAGAAAACACATCAGTTGCTTCCTGCTGCTTCCACAAGGCACCCGTCGAATCAGACTGGAGCGATGTGTCCACCATGATGGAAGTCTTACGACGAAAAGAGTTGCAAGCCAGGACCACAGTCGGGTTGCCGTTGCAATGGCTGCTGGATTGTCTCAACTTTATGGATAAGTGATATCCATGGATATCCCACAATTGCCGTGTTCACTCGGAAAAATGAAGATCAATCATGGGGTTGTAGGGTACGCATTTTGGTTAAAAGGGACCTGCGGACTCTATGAAATCAAGCAACTGATACTCTACTATATTATCAAACAATCGCTACTTTAATCAGTCATACTCCGTAAGGGAACTTGATGGGTTTGAGGATCTCATCTAAGTTTGACTCTGTTTAGACGTTTAGAGTTACAAACAACCCTGTTGCATGATTTTGTTACTGACAGATGCTATCAGTACAGGTTCTATGTCTCTCCTCGAGTGAAAATGATGATCCGACCTGTCACATCAGGTCCAGAAAATCAATAACGGAACACCAAAAAACCTTCATGCCATGGCCAAAAAGCTTGGAACATAATGGGGTAGTCATTAGTAGTCCATATCGGGGGGTGCTCATACCCTCTATTCATCTCTTTTTCAAAATGTGGGGTTTCATATAGCCGTGAAGGACGGAATCCTCATGGATGATCACCCAGTCCCGGGTCAACGTCAGGACCTTGGCCCGTCAAGGACAAAGACTCGCCATGACGGCCTTGTCTCCCAGCGCCGTGGATTGCCGCCTGACTGCGGTAGAAATTTGGGGCACAAGGGAATGATCTGCTGGTTGGTGGTTTGGAACAGCCGCGGGCTCAACACCTTCCAGCTGGTGCGGCCGTCCCAGCTGAGCGTTGAGGGTTACGTTCCTCGCTTTCGCCATGGCACTGACCCTGGAGATCTGTCTGGTCTTGGACGTTGTGGTCTTTGTTTCCTCCCTTGAAAGTCACTTGCTTCGGACTCGAGCAACTGGCAACCTGGTCAAGTACAGTGGACTATTGGAAGGGGGTCATGACTCAGTGACACTGATTGATGCGGTGGTGGGGCGACAGTTCCTGGTTCCTGCCACTGCCTGTGGAGCCAGCACCTTGGTGCTCCATCCTGTTGTGCCATCGTGGGCGAACTTGTTCAAACAGATTGATGCTTGCAGTGGTTTGTCTCAGATCAGATGGATGGCCAATCGGTGGAAGTTTCTGACCATCAGACCCAGCGTGTGAACTACCTCCAAACCCAGCTGCCATCTCAGGATCAGCAGTTGTATGGGCAGATTGAAACGCAGACTCAGAGTATTCAAGCTATGTTGGAGACCCAGCTCTCTCACATTTGGGGTGTGGTGTCAATGCGTCTGAGCGAGGAAGGTGAATGATGGGGAGGGCGCGAGCCATCTGGTTGGTGCAGTGTCAGGACTGCTACTTTGTCAGTTTACTGGCCTATGGTGGCTCTGGTGCCCGACTTTGTTTTCCTGATTATGGGGTTAGCATCTGCACTGTCTTATGAGAGAGTATGGTCGTCTGCCAAAACGAAGATGGTTGTGCTTCTTGTGTCTTTCAGTGTTGTCAGGGTCGGGGAAGCCTTTCCCCCGGGTCCTGTGGATGCCTTTTGTGATACCAATTTTGTTTTGGAAACTGCCAACCCTTCGGGTCTCCAAAGCGATGCTGGTTGTGTTGTTGCGAACATGTCCCGTGGGGATTTTTGGGCCATGAGTGAGACACAACTTGGTTCCTGGGAGTTGCAGTCGTTCATCTCCGGACTTTGTTTTGTACAGTTGCCGTTCTGTGAAATTTGCCGCCATGCTAAATTCGACGTGATGTCTCAGTACTGTAGGCCACAGAGCCACATGATATGTATGCATGCCAGCTGTATGGCGCTCCAGTTTTCGAATGAACGGCTGGAGAACGTTGTCTGGTGTTTTCTCGAATTAAGTGCTGTTCCTGTTAGACGGTCAACTAGGGTTTTGGATCACCTGCTTGTTCCGGTGTGACATTGTCCCGTATCAGCCACAGTCAAAGCACTGCTTTCGATACTAAGGCAGTGCGCAGATCAAAGTGGACAAAGTGGTGGTTTGGAACATTTGGATTATTTTCGATAATATAGATATTTATATATATATATGGGATGTCATCCTTCCCATTGACGAACTCATATTTTTCAAGATTGTTAAAACCACCAACCAGCTTTTCTGTAATGCTGAAAAATAGACTGACCGCCAATTCGGGCAAGAAATGCTATCCGAGAATTGCAATTTGCCAAAATAGTAGGTCTAAACATTCCAAAGACATCGACCCTGAACAATCAGGGCTTGAATTTACTCTTGCATGTGCAGTTAGCCCATTTTTGAACGTTTGCGTCAAAACAAGTCGGGCGAGAATACATCGGAACCAGGCAGGAATACCCGGAATTTGCTGGGAATGGTTTAACATCTATACTTGCCATAGCTTGTTTTTGGTGGATTCGTTTGTCCAGGGATGACGAAGCAGAAATGCGGAATAGTGGGTCTTAACACAATGGCACAAATTCCCCTACAGGGGATAATTTAGAAATTTACGGTCAGGCGGGATTTCCAGGGCCAGGCAGAAAAATAGGTCAAAACACACTCGGGCTCAAATTCTAGACTGCGATGGCTCTAGGTATTAGGTATGGTATGCTTGGATGCACCTCCCACTTAGTAAGTGGTTTATAATCATTACAATCTATATACCACCCAATATAACCCATGTAATCCCACATATAAGTGGAGATGTTCCATATAATTGGGGGTATAACCCATTTACCAAGTGGGGCCCGCACCCCCAAGTGGGTCTGGGTCACTTTTTTTCGCCAAAAAAGGGACCACAGATGTTGGTATATGTTCAGTATTAACCATCTACTATTAGGGTTCTCATTTTTGACCCAAAAAAGGTACCCATATACAACTGGGTGATACTTCAGAATGTAAGTTGCATAGTTGACACCTCTTATATACACCTCTTAGCCAGCTATGATTTGGCGCATTTGGATGCACATCAAAAAATGGTATCAGCGGCTTATCAGCCCCTTACATCCTGGGATGATCTGGGATATTCATTCTACTTGGTGGTAAGAAAATCAAGAAATACCGTGGATGGAAGAAAATCCTGCACCACCTTGGATGGTTGGAACCCTTTAAATCATGGGATAAACGACCTAACAAATGGTGCAGGATCTCTTCCACCCACATTGTGTCTACTACTATGTCATGGTCTATTTTGTGTGGGTTGCAATAAGTCACAACTACTGGTAGCAAACATCTGGGTGGTATATGGTGTGGTACAGTTTATCATCAACTCTTATGTGTATATATTCTACACATCTACATTTGTGTTGAATCGGGGACCTACAATATTACTTAGGGTCATGTACCACTGGCGATTCAGGATGTACTGGATGCATGCTCAAGCGCCTCCACGCATTTATATAATGCAAACCTGAAGCATAAACTGAGATCGAACGTCATTTTGAACTTTGAACCACAATTTGCAGGTACTGGTATATGCTGGTTGGCAGAACAGAGCTTGCGGTAAACACCGACCAAAATGGTAATACATCAGGTTTCCGTGGTTTTGGGGGCTTACTATGGCCGAGTGCGCCAAAAGCTGAGACATTGAACACCGCCTTTCACAACAGGCTGTTTTGCATGGACCTGTGGGTTTCTGAAAATTGGTACAGCCCTTTTCACCATTGCTTTTAACTTATTGAAAATGATGACATTGGTTTCCCCTTATCAAGATGTTTGAATCTTGATTGGATGACAGAAACTTGGATTTACTATGATTACTGTAGTTTTATGAATCTTGATTTGAGCAATCTTTTGAAAGACTACCATGAAAATTGTTTGACCCCTCGTGCCCTCAGTGATTCGCGCTGGAACCTTAGGCTATTGGTGGAAGTTGCTGGTCATGAGTTCCAAGTGGTTGCCTTTGCCCACGGATCCTCTACCAGCAGGTGCCACTTTGGAGGAATGGGTTTACCATCCCACCAACATAGACACTGAGAATCACTATGTTTTTGAGGAATGTATTCTTCCAATCCTCTATTTTGCAGGGTCTATGCTAGCTGGAAGGGCAATTCTGATATGTTTTGCTGTAAATGGGGATACAGTAACCTGACCGGCTGAAATAACTTGAAACCAGAGGAAACATGCAGGGTATCTAAAATTGGCCAGCCTTAAGTCAGCTACTACGCCTTGGGAAATTCTGGGACAGGCACAGTAGAGTACATTAGTATGAATGCAATTGAATGTATATGCTTTGGAACGCTCTTGAAGTCAAACCACTGTACTTTGGCGGCGTTTGACTAAACCATTTTGGATTGACAAACAGTACATGCATTTAAAGAGAGCATCATGTTGTTGCTGTAAATCCAGAAGGTTCGGCTGTACAGATTGGAGGCCGTTGGAAGCAATTTTACTGTGCCGCCATCAGACACCCCATTTTCTCAGGCGCCAGACCCCTCGAAGATGTGGCTTGCCTAAAGTTTCACATCCAGCAGTTCGGATTGGTCTTTTGCAAACTATAGCGACCTGTGTGTGCACAATGCTTGGAAAGGCCTTTTCCAGATTATGTCACTATGTCCTTGATTTGTTCTGTTGTTACTTGTCACTTCATGAAGTGACTTAAAACATGCCATCCGCAGATGAATTCCGCGGTGGCCTGCCACAGGTGCCGGTTCTCGTTGGAGATTCAACCAACTTTCCGCAAAAGAGTGACTGCATAAATACTAGATGGGTTTGAACTGCCCTGTTCACATGTATTGATTGTTGGTGCTTACTAAAATCAATAAGGAAGGCCTTATTGCTGGTGTGTCCCGTTTGGGGGTGGGCTGAGACATGAAGAGGTCCCCATTGCTGTGGTGATGGGATACATGGCAGACTGAGGTACTGCTACTGCCGGAAGATGCGGTTCTTTCCTCCGAGCCGCGTCCTTAGCCGTTGCAGCGGCCGGAACTGCTACAGATGTCTCCAAGTTGGGCCTGTTGATCCAACGTCCAAAGCTCTGATGATTTCCTAGCTTTAGGATTTTCATAATTACACTGATAGTCGTAGCGTGTCCTATTATAAAGATTTATAAAGTTCAATGGTAATAACCCCCCTTGCTTCGTTTGGAGGCCAATTAGATTCAATAGAGGTCAAGCACTGCTCTGCAAAGTAGCAGTATGTGCCCCGAACAAACTGCTATTTCCCTCAACTTTAGATCTGACATGCCAAAGGCAGTTTAAAGGTATTTATAATTTGTTACCATCATGTCTATGTGAGAAGGGTTTTCAGAGACCCTTCGGCCCTTCATTGGGGTTTTAAAACCTGCTACTCAGGCACGGTCTGAAAGGTGGCGTGCCCATGCACATGGCTCCAAAGAAGGAGACACAGGACAAGTGGTCACAGAAGTTTTCACATTCTGTGGATGGTTACGAAATCCTGCTCCACCAATTGGATGGTTGAAACCCTATAACTGGTTGGTGGTTTGGAACATTTTGTTATTTTCTATAATATATGGTATGTCATCCTTCCCATTGACGTTCATATTTTTCAGAGGGGTTCAAACCACCAACCAGCTATAAGTAATGGGATAAATCGCATATCAACTGGTGATTTCGCACCGTCCGTGAAACCCCGCTCCCTAGGATCCGAGCTGCTTTGGTCATGGACGCAGGTTCGGATGAACAGAAATCCAGGAACTCAAAATATATGGTGGTTAGCTGGGGACATGATGACATGATGACATGATGACTGTTGTTTTTGGGTGATGAATTCCAGCGAAAGCCCAGAGATTTGGGTTAAAAGAACAGTAAACAACCAGAGTTTCCTGTAGACTTTCCCTTAAACCAATCCAAAGGTCCCTGACGAAACCGCTGCTCAGTTGGGAGAATTGCTGTGACCCCTACAGCTTCGGCGCTGTTGGGAATCAGGCCGCCGAAAACGTGGGGAATTTCTGCTGGCTGACGTCTTACCTGGAACATTGAAAGCAAAAAAAACATAACAAGATATGATAGGGGATTACCCACAAATCGCAATTTTACTGGGAAAAATGAGGTTCAAATCCCCTATTTTCAGACAACCCCATTAGTATCCACCATTTTACGGGCTAAACGGCTTGTTGTCAGCGTATCGCAAATTGACTCCGTAACCTCGGTATACCGAAGCATCTGAAGCATACCATGATGGCCCGAGAGTTCATTGCATATCTGCTACAGATATTGGGGCATCCAAACTTGCTCAAGCTCACGCCCAGAGATTTGCAGGTGACATGTTGGTAACACTATCATCAATCGTAAACTATGTATCTTCCGGATGGATTCAAGCTAATTACATCTAATTACATCAAACGTGGCCAGTATTCCCATCCTGCTGCTCTTCAGAGCGATCCACAGGAGTGCTGGCTGCACTTGGCTTTGGAGGAACAACGTGACGATTTGCATGAGGTACCAAGCTTAGAGAACTTATAGAGAACTTATGTGATTTTTTTGGGGGAGGTGTGTTCACTTTCCCATAGTACATCATAGTATATCATCATTTTCCCCATTATATATATATATATATATTATCAATTTTTGGAGTATACAGTATACCTTATTTCCAGAGACACCCATATCCCTCAAGAGATTTTGGTTGTTGAATTGGTCACATCCTGCGAGGTCGACATGGATGCATACTTTGTTCGCTGCTGTCATGCTGGAACCGGAGGGTGACGCCAAAAAAAAACCGGGCCACCGATTTTGTGGTGCACAGAAGGTAATGAAACGATGCCATGGCATAGCCACAAGAAGCCAAGTCATGTCGGATATATATATATATATACATATATACACATATTTATGTGTATGTATATATATACACCATTGCAATAATCTATAAATATGTTAACATGATGATCTAATATGATCTAATAGTTCCCACATGTTTGACTCCTGGGGCGTCTGAAGTGGAGCCGTTGTCATGGAACGCTGATGCCGACCATTGCATGATGATCCCAAGAGCCACGTTTCAGATGGCGAAAATCACCAAGCCTTTTGGTTGTTGTTCTTGTATATATCAGTATGCAAATCAGTCCTTTAACCATAATACCACTTGATATTTGATAATACTTACAGTAATGATAATGATGATATGATATAATGAATCTAAAGATTTGTTCAGCAATTTTGCCTGATGTTCCTGCAGGCTGATGCGACTTTGCCCAAGACTTCTGCGGTGCTGTTTGATGAGTCGGGCATCACAGGTAGTAGTGATGAACTTTTGTAAGTGTATAGCAACCCACCCAAAAATATAGACCAACTGAAGTAGTGGCGCATTATGTGGAAACACATGCGTCCACCATGTTCCACCTTTTTTCGCGGTTGCTAACCATACATAGTTTGTGTTCCATGTGATGCAGTCGCTGTTTCATTTGCTTTCGTTATGCGTCGATTTACCAGCAGATTGATTGATCGACATACTCACCACATAGCAGAATATTATATCTGTAAGATAAGCAGTAGATTGCAGCAGATCTTATGTTGATGGTATTCGAACGTTGCCAAAACATTATGGTCACTGTTCCATAGTATGTACACAATGTAATATGATGTGTGTTTCAATCATCGGTTGTGCGTACTTATATATATATGTATATTATATAATATAATAATAAAAAAATAAACATAATAATATATTATAGTGTACATATGTGTATATATATATACATATGTACTGTATGTATTACGGCCATGCAAATAACTACAATTTGTATATATATATACATACATAAAATCATAACATGTGTACTCTTACACAAATGGAACAACCTACAGATATGGGCTGCAGGACTGCACTGTTCGAGGTTCCATGAGCGCGGTCTTGGAAATGACTTGGCCCTGACCTTGTGCCTTCACTCACAACATACCAGGTGCTCTGGTGCTCTGGAGGAACACATTGCGGTGGAAACCAAATTATGAAACCATGATGATGGTTACAGTATTGTGATTTTGGTGATTATATATATATATATTTGATGGTGGTTCATGATCATGATCCATGAGTATGATGAGCACAATCAATGCATAGTCTGTATTCTGTTTTTTTCCCGTGATTGATTGTCAAGTGTTGTCCCAGAATTTGTTTTTTCTGCAACATGTTGAGTGGCACTATATGGGAGCCCTGAGATCAAAGGATTTACCGACTTGAATGAACCATTTTGCTGTCATCTTAATAGGACCCCATCTGATTTGGCCAGATGAACCTAAATTATTCCCATCCCCCATCCGTATTACTCAACCCCAAGCAACCATTGTTTAATAGGGGATTCACACATATTGATTGTTTTGTTTTAAGCACAGTACGTGTTGATTGGGGGATTGATTCAAATTCTGCTTGATGCTTCCCCCAGCAACTGACACACGTCGACACCATTCGACACCCTTTGGACCGATGCAGGCGTCAAGCAGGGCTGCCTGATCTGCGCATGGTGGCTATGAGTCCTTTGGCGAAGTTCAGTTTCGATCCAATGTCCTTCCCGGAACATGTGAGCAGTGGCTGCTAAGCCCTGGTTGAAGGTTGATGATTTGTGAGGGGATTATACCCAACATACTGGGGGTAATAATCCAAGAACGGGGAATCCCTATGAACCAACCAATAGAATGAGAGGGAGTTTGAACACTTCTCAAATGTATATAATAACTATATATACCTTCCAGGCAACTTACGGCATCTACGGGCAATGCGCCGTTTATAGTTTACCTACCTATTTGAAATTGTGATTTTCGATAGGGTCTATATAGATACAGTATATGATATATACACGTCAATCATCATTGAAACTGTTTAATAGCACCTTTGAAGTGGTAAAACATGAACCAATCACTTGCACACTGAGGTGCAGCTAACAATTTTGAGCCCAAAAGCCGTAGATCATCTTTTCCAGGTGCGGGAGATTGATTCCTGCAAAACTTTTGTTTGGGGGGCATTGTCCAAAGAAATTCCACGTTGGTATGGTATGTGCCCTGGATATCAATAACCTGGAGGTCTTTCATATGTGCATTGTATTGCATTGTTTCAAGATGTTTCAAGTTTGTGCCATGCGAGAACAACACTAGGAAGTTACCATTTTTCACACCGGCATATCCAAAAGTCCAAACGTGAAACCAGAAGAGCCTCGAAGTGCCTACCCAATATGTTTAGTCCTCAACAAACTGGAACAAGTTTGGGTGGTTTTACCCCTTAAAATCCCAAATCCACTGGCTTGTCAAAAAAAAATCCCTTTTGAAATTGCCATGAATTGTGGCTAATACATGCTAATACATGCTAATACATGCTAATACATGCTAGTACTCAATTTTTAGACACACCCCAACAATAGTAGTGTTGATTTTTAAATTGGATATCCCGTAAAATATCCGCAGATTGAATCCCATTGATATCATTACTGGGTACATACCCCCTTGGTCCATGTCCCCCATGTGAGCTGCGACGTTAAGCGAGCGTGTGGCGCAGCGGTGCGAAGCCCTGACCGGTGATGATCATCCCATTTCGCTGCTGTTTCAATTTATCCTATAGCGAAGTGGGATGTTGTTTTACTTTTTAGCAAAATTACGTAAATGCCCATTAGTAATGACAATAGTCCTGCATCTCATAATCCTCTGACAAACAAACACAAAAAAATAACAGTGGGTAATTTATCGACCTAAGTCAGCCATGTTCCACTGCTGGTATGTTAGTTTTCCCGCAGTACATTCCCTCCTTATTATAAACCATCCCTTATTTATCACGATCAATAGGTGCTAACTCTCATCCCCAAATGGAAGGTTTCTGTAGGTTTATGGCATTGGGTTTCCTATGTTAGTGTATGTTAGTGTGGTTAAAACAATCATAAACCATCCCCCAAATCACCATCAATAGGTGGTATAAACCATTCCCACACTATTTTGCTTTTGCCCAGTTGCCCTATGTCCAGCGCACAGTCCAAAATAAGGCTGGCCGACTTGTTCGACGGCTGTGAGGTCTTGCGGTCGCAGGGCCGTGAGCACAGACCTCAGCGGTGTAGAGGCTGCCTCAGCTTTCCTTTAAAAACATGTGGGGTTTTCATAAATGTGTTCAGATACATGGAAAATCATGTGGGGGTTCCATAAATGGTGGTTTCATAAATGGAGAATCCGATCTATAAATATGATGATTTTTGGGTACCCCATGGATCGGAAAGCTCCATGTTATATTGTTCATGGGATATGAGTATAGGGATATACTGGGATTCCATAGTTGCATCGTAGATATAATAGTGAATGGGATAATGTTAACCTTTCCTGGATATAGTGGGATCATAACTAATATAATAACAATTCAATGATGAAATCATGGATAGCTAGTAGCCATTCAATGATGGGATGGTCACCAATCCATACAGAAATGAAGGGATTCCTATGAAATGGGATGGATGAAGCGCCAGGTAGTTGTGACGTTTATCGGTTTCAGCAAGAGATTCATCCACTTATCTACTGTAATGATTGAACGACGTTTATATGTATAGACTGTATAGATGATTAGATGGTTACATTACCAAGGAGTCCAGTCGGCTTGCAGTTTCAGAGCCCCAGGAAGCTACTGCTGTTGGCGATTCATGTCCAGAATTCGCTGAACGAAACAAAGTACCGTAGCCCCCGGTAAATAATTGCTGGGCAAAACCGTGGTGTCTTGTTTTGTTTTTCCACTTGCCAGGCGAGGGTCTCTAGACTTTATGTAAGCTTGGCCTCCTCCTTCCTTCTCTGTCTCCTCGTCTCTGCTCCTCCTTGCCAAGTCGCCAAGCTCTGATAAAATGTCAGAATGTGTCAGATAGCACGTTAGGTAGAATGTTGGATAAACTGTCAGACAGAATGTCAGGATGTTCAGATACATTTAAGATCATTGAAGAATGTGGTTCAAATGTGACATGCAAGATAACATGCCAGAATATATGTCACATAGGATGTTAGACAAACATGTTAGACAGAATGTCAGAATATATGTCGGATAAAGTGCCAGTTGGCGGGGATCACTCGAAGAAACGTGTTTGTTTTGTTTTTTTTTGTTTCGTCAAACCTATCCAATGAGATAACCTTCCACACAAATCAAATATCATTTTGATCATTGTGATGCCAATATCTATTATATATATAGTTATTTAATTCTGCATAATTCCATACATCTTGCCTTAGGGAATAATCCCTTACCATACCCAATATACTTTATGAAAAATAACATTGAAATACACCATGTTATCTCACTGATAAACTAGGTCCTGCACATGAAAACATACAAGGGTTTGTGCCCATTTAGAAGTTGGTAAACCCAATTGGCTGTAGATGATTACATATGTATCAACCATAAGCAAGTCACCTAACGATTCCTTGGGGCACCACCTGCCAGGCACCACCCATCCCTTCCCGTTTCAGCCCTGAGGTTCGAGGTTGAGCTGCGCCATTCTGCCAAGAGCCGGCGTCTCCTGAGGGCCTCCAAGGGCTTCGAAAAGAAGGCGCGCTTGGCTACATTCACCAAACCCAAAGTTGGGATTTCACATGGTTTGACCAACAAGATTAGCATATTTGCAGTAACAGGACATAACAGGACTTACATAACCAACGAAGAGAGTGATTTAACCAACAACAAGTTTGACTTTACCAACGCAAATGGGGGGTTGTCGTGGTTGAACCACGAAATTGGAGGAATTGATTGTTTAGTCAGAAATCAGGATAGGAAGGAGAAGTCGTACTGACCTGTTCGAAGAAAACAACATTTTTTTCTGGGTATCAAGGAGGTGGCATCTGGTACACCATGATTTTGGGATGCCAGGTTTGCTGTGGTTTTCCAACAAAATGGTGTGTTTTTCCCCGGCTGACATTCCTATGGGGTGATTAACCCTTGACAATTGACATCTAGTGACATCTAGGTGTGCCTTGTAAAAGCCCAAAAAAGGCACATCTCTGATAGTTGGGTATATCATCCCAACATACATTGGTTTACATCTCTATTAGTCATAGAAGATCCCATTGCTCGAAGGTCAAATTGCACAGAAATCGACGTTTCATTGGCGAATTTCCTCCGGATGTCTGAATGGCAAAGCAGCAGTTCCAGGCGGAATTGGCCAAAGTGGTGGCGGAGGCGGCCTGCGAGGCTAGGATTGATAGATATTTATGATGGAGATGGAGATGATGTACCCTCTGGTAAACGCTTACATAACTATGGAAAATCACCATTTTTAATGGGAAAACTCACTATAAATCACCATTTTCCATAGCTATGTTAAATTACCAGAGGGTATCCGCAGTTGGGGATGGCTTTACGAATGTTGACATTTTTTTGCTGGAAACTGGACCGTGACCATGACCTACAGTCAAGGGTCAAAGTCGTAGCGATTCTTTGCTTTTGAGTCCATACCCTTGGGCGAAGCTTTTCAGGGGGGTCGTAGCGATTGTGGCTGTGCCTATGAGATTTGCAGTGATTTGTTGAATCGTTTTAGAGGCTTTTTGTATGTTGAGGATTTTTGAGGGAAACCTTAGGCCATGAATCGTCAATGTGAAGGCTTTGCAGTGGACCGGCGATGACGAATCAACACCAGGACTGGGTATGTTTGTTGAGACATGTGTTGGAAGATGATATTGTCTATCCAAATTAGTACGGATCCGGTGTACTACTAGTATATAGAGATGCAAGATAAAAGGCTGGAATTTGATGCAGTAACATGCAGTAAAACATGTATTGATTGATGTTTGAACTTTGAACTACTCTATTCAATTCAATGATCATCTTCAGGTGACTTTTGTAAGACATGCTGCAAGTGATTGGTCCAGATATCCTCAACTTGCAGACCTTGATCTTCCGTCAGATGGGTTTGAAAACTTTCATGGTTTGGAAAACCATGTTTCCTATACTTGATGGTCATGTATTGGGTTATATCGTGAGGGCCGGCATTTTGGAGTGCCAAACCCAGATGCACAGGCAATTGGCGACTTCTGCAAAGATTGCATCGTCTTTGGATTTCATCACCAGCCAGTTGATTCCGCTGATGCTATGGGTCAAAATTTCGATACCCAGGCAATTGGAAATAGTTTTTCAATGCACAGAATCTACGGTCCCTACGGTCCTTTTTGGTCCCCTGGAGAAGCCATTCCCATATGTCCCATGTCAAGAGGAGATGTTCTGTGTTTCCTCCCTGGTGAACCTGAGTGTGGGATCTCGGCTTCACCACTTTGATCCTGCGGTCCGCGGTCCTTGCAGACCTGAGCCACAGAAAAACGGGTCGGGATGGGACCGGTTGGATGGGTTGTAAAAGCTGGGGAGGATACGGGGATGGTCATAACCGTCATAACCCACAGGGATAGCATGGGATAGCTATATGAGATTCTCCCAGTTTTCTGGCTCGTGTGGGTTGACTTGCGACCTGAATTGGACACCTATTAAGCAACTACTTGGATCTACTTGGTATAGAATGGGATTGGAACATGGGATATTTTTCATGGCTCACCTTGGTTCGGCTGATTTCACAGGGCGGCTGTGCATCAAATGGTCTGACCCAAGTCACCATGTCTCTGAGGATCAGGCAGTGCAAGAAGCATCTGGAGGCAGCTGACATGGCTGTTGCAAGTTGAGTCGACATTCGATGACATGCCGAAAGGACCAGGGACCAGGGTCAAAGTTCAATGCCCAGCAGGGGACCGCAGATTTTGAGCATTTCTGGTGTTACAATTCTGGGGGTGCCCAATATTGCCCAATGTTTGACCCATGCCCATGTACCATACCTCCATAATACCTGTTGTGATTATAAACTATCCATCATTATCCAGCCATGGCCGGCGGACAGGCTACATGTATCATAAAGACTGAGACAAAGTGTTGCAGTACTAACAGCATCTAACCACCTAAAGAATCGCTTAATGTTTTGATCATGTTTGAAATGTCGTTATTCATTATATTTTTTAACCATCCCAACAATGTCGAGGTTACCAACAGTACATATACGTATATACACACCACACTTATATATATCTACATATATATATATACATCACATGTGTATATATATATATTAATACACATATTGGCACATATATATATATACATACACATACACACTTGCTACCTACATTCATGTGTCTACTTGGTATGATAATCCGGAACTGACCCATTTGGACCTTTTTCAAACGAAGTGAGACGCCATTTGCACAGGCACGCCTTCGGACAACCAAGGCCTGCCAGTCAGTATTGAAACCTATGGTGACTGTCATTGGTGATCCCCCATGACTGTATTGAAATCCTTCCTTTTACCATACTGTACACCAACATATTGTCTAAATGGACTATATTCATGTTGTTTGTCAATGTTGGTATATATATATATATTGTTATATTCCCATAAAGCCATCCGTTGTTGCTAAGTTGAATGGTCTGGTAAACCAACTTCAAAATTCGGGAGGGCGGCTACTTTCAACTTGGAAATTCCACTTGGTTCCATTTGGAAGATTTTTAATTGTATGGATATGGAATATGTGTATGTTTCATAATGTTTCCCAAACTTGTGCCAATGATTCTTCACTATCATTCAGGTTACCTTGTTGATTGTTGATCCATTTTGATGGTGGTTACTCAGTTGTTTTTCACCAGAGGAGTGGATTTGGTCATTGTCCTGACGGATAGGACAAAAAGAACTGCAACTGATCTTATTTGCCTGGATGAATCGTAGCCACACGCAGCTAGCTCATGGCTTTTAGGTGGCTAGACGGATTTTCCAATTGTCCCACTAAAACTGTATCCCTTACAGTCCAGTAAGCAAACGTGGTAGTGGAAAATCTCCCATTTATAGAGTCATATAGAGTCATATATAGGATTCTTCCCAGCTATATACCTCCATTTCTGGAGGATTTTCCAGGCAACCATATATGATGAAACCGGAGGGTCGTGGGGAATGAACACACAAGTTGTGTGACCTGGGAATCCCTGGAGGATGCGTAATAGCAACATATCAACCTCAGGGATTGTTGGTTTGATTCGATTTGGATGTCAGGAAACCATAGCTTTAATTGGATGTTTGGTCGGTGGACGTTCATTTTCATTTTCCATCCTTGTTATGATCCCGATGTTCAGGGTCAAACAGGGAACCAGTTGGCTGCTGGAAATATAATGTATTGGTCTAGCAAGTATTGAAGAGTCCCAAGATGTCCCAGTCAGTTTTGGGTTTCCAGACTTTGACCTGCACCCTTACCCAATGTCTTTGGAAGCACGATATGTGTGCTGCGTATTCATGGCAAATATGCCCATGAAATCTGATTACGTCCCTGCCTTTCTTGCGCTTGTACTGTACATGAGGAATTTCGGGTAAAGTTTCCATGAATCTTGTTGTTGCTCTGCCATATCAATCGAGACCCCAGGCTTTTTAGTTGGTTCAGTCAAGGAAGTCCCAAGTATCCCAGGTCCGCTGGCTGGTTTTCCCCACTGACTTTCATCGTTTCCTCTGGAGTACATATTCAATCTATTGGTCAATCTCCCCTTGTGGTTCTTTGTGGGTTGCATATTGCGCCAAAAGTTTGATCGTTTTCCATATAGATACATGGCTATGCTATGACCCATATATATATACATACAATAGATACGTTACCATATTGTTCATATTGTGCCCTATGGGAATAGATTATTGTATTGTTATTGTACTATTTACTGTTCATATATACTTAGGATTATCATCATGTCTGCAAATGCCGGGCGACAGCTCTCACTTCAAGCAAATGGGCCTCATTTCAGGTTGGTGAATTATCATACATTCATGAATTTCTTCATTTGTGCATTCATTTATTCGTACGTTGCTACATTCAAACACACTTTTCAACATACATATAACTATATATTTGATTAATTGATTCTTATATATGATTATATATGTATCGTCTGTCCCAAACAAAAATAGCACATGTTATTTTTGATGGGCTGCAGCTACCGCTTAAGCTCTCCCCTTCCCAGGCGCCCAAGACAGCTAGGGCGGCACGCGGCTTTGGTGCTGAGGCAGAGCTGGGACCTGAAAATGGTGATTTAGCCAGCAAAAAAACATGTGATTTGATGGGATTTTGATGGGAATATAGTGGGACATAAAAGTTTGTCAAAGTCTACAATGTGGTGCCCCCCAGTTATAAGTTGGTTTATAAACCCCATGAATACTATAGTTATATCTGCCATAAACCATAGTTATGGGAGTTATGTTCACCAACTTAGCTAACTATGGGGCACCACCTTGTAAGACAAGTGCCATCTATTTTGCTTTGCAACATGTCGTGGCTGTGTATTGTTGCGGCCGTAGGTCCACCTTGGAGTCAACGCTCCTTGTGGCTCTGGTGATCCCAATCTCAGTGCAGATGTCATTTGCTGTTCCAGCATTTTTACTGGTTAAATCCCCTATGTTCCAGTGGTTTTTATGGTTAAATCATGTTAAATCCCAATTTTCCAACACGTTTATGTAATGGTTAAATCCCAATGTTCTACCATTGGTTGCTGGTTGTGATTTAAAAACCATCTCTGGGATGATGGTCCGACCTGGTCGCGAGGCAGCATCGACAGCGCAGCCGGCACCCCAGTGGCAGCTACTTGGAACCACCGGCCACAAGCTGCCTCTCAAAATGATGTATAACCCACCCCTTAAATATTCTAAGAGGAAAATGATGATACTGCAGATATTTGGGGTAAACCCTACTTTTCACATACACCCACATGTTTGCCCAGTTAAAAGCCTCCGCTGCGCATCGCTCCAGGCGTGCTCCGGTGGATGTGTACCCCTTACATGGCGCCTTAGATGCTGAGGCGGGAGCTTGGGCCCCAAATGATAGCTAAGTTGGTGAAACATAACTCCAAAAACTATGATACTTCTATAGCTACCTATGATATAGTATTTATGGGGTTTAGAAACCAACAAACATAACTGGTGGGCCCCACGTTGTAAGCTTGATATTCCGATGCATCCTGAGGGACAAAGGAAAATTGAATGCATGTCCCCAACTTTTTTTTGGGTATCAGACTGTCTGACTCTTTGCTGCTTTGACGCTAAATGTGCTTTTTTTTTGCAATGCATTCCAGCTTCCACCCCCAGCGACCACATGTCCAGAATATTCTAGAATTCGCGCATCATTTAGTTATATTATCCCATTGAAAATCCATGATTATCCCATGATTATCCCATGATTATCCCATGATATCCCCAGTATAGCCATTCAAAAAACCTGGATGGCCTCATCCAGGTGCAGGACAGGGCCATCCTGCCTGCGCCAGGGAGGCTGTGGGTTTTCTCGGTATCAAGTTTTTGGCATCGGGATAATGTCAACATAGATATGGCGTTGTCATGCTTTGAACATAGTGAAATATATGATATTATAATATATATATATATACATACATATATATATATATATATTTATAACGTAATTAATTGAATATTATACTATTTTCCCAATAATATATATATATATATACATATATATATACATATATATATATATATGTACATATAGAGTACCCCTACTAAGTCCCTACTAGATTTAGATGGTTGTTCATTGGTTGCCCTATGATATTTTTCCATTTTTGGGCTATACCCAATGTTCAGTCAAACTTCTTTGGAAATCCATGGGTGTGACCAATTAGCTTGCTTGACCAGACATTAAACTGTTGCAGTTTATTTCCTTCTCGCATGATGCAACTCTTTCATGGCTAATTTAGCTTAGGCATACCTGAAAAGCAGGTACTTTGCGATGTAAGGCCATAATCTACCTCTCGATGATTTGATCGGGGGTGACACTCCCCTTTAGATCATATATCCAAGTATCCAGTCCTAAAAACTACGTAGAAGTATCAAGTCCTATGGAACTATGAACGTCACGTATCTATCATAATTATCATAGTTCTATTGGATATAAACCTCTTACATATGGGATGCTTTCCATATGTTTTCCAATGATTTTGGTGGATTCTCCCATGAAAAACTCCAGAAATCGGGATTCCCAGATCGCGGAGGCGTCGTGTGATCCTGGCCACCAATGTGGCGGAGGCATCCATCACGGTTCAAGGCGCGGCGCCGGAATGTGGTGATACGAATGTTGTGATGCGGTGTTATTCATCATAATATATATATATATATATTATCCTGTTATATATATTTATATTAGTATAATTCATATATATGTATATATCCTTTGTTATGAGTTTTACTATTATATATTATACTGTATATTATATATTATGTATTGTATATAGTCTATAGTTATGTATATATTTATAATATCCTACATTATACTATATATATATATTGTTATCATATAATTTATATATATATATCATGTGTTATGAGTTTTTTACTATTATACATTATACATAATATATATAGTCTATAGTTATATATAGATATATTCTCATATATTATTAGATGCATATATATATAGTGTTATAATATATTTTATATAATATGTTATGAGTCTTTACTATTATATATTTTATACTATATATAGTCTATAGATGTATATATATATATATATATTATCATATATTATTTTATTTGCATGTATATATATATATATATATTTTAGATTCTATTTTATATATTATATATTGTATATGACATATTACATATTATATTTTATTACATATTTTATATATTATATATACTATATGATATATATATATATGTATATTATATAATATATTGTATCTAGTCTATTTTATTTATTACATATTACATATTATTCTTTATTTATTATATACTATATATTGTGATTTTTATTATCAACTATATATATATGTATATGTAATTATAATATATATATATTATCTATACTTATAGTTGATTATGAGTGGGAAATATATGCGATGGCAATGATTTTGGTTTAGATGACCATGATTTCGCTGTGTTTCGTCAATCCATCATGGGGTGCTTCGGTTTACCCCCCAATCTAATGGCCAGTAAATCATGCGGTCTGAATGGTTTGGACTACGGGAATTGCCGCCAAGTCAGATTGGGGGATTCTTCTTATTGTTTGGGGGTCGTCGAAAGCACTTGCTAAGCATCTGCAGATTTCAGGGATAATCCAAACAAGGGAGGGTGTGATCACGGAATACTTGCTACTTACCAGTGTAATATGGCTTTGATACCTCTTTTGGAAACCGAGATGGAAGACGGAACCGCTTGGTTTGATCTGCATAGAGGTTAAATGCTTTGAAGATGCTAGATAGTTTATATAGATGTTTGTTGGTCACACATGGTGGATGAGACTGATTTTTGCTTCCTACCATGTGTGTGATTGTTCTTTTGCTGTGAGTCAAAACGCAACCACCTACCAATCGGGCCACATATGAGGCTTCGTAAAGGCCGCATCAGTCACTCCTGTGATGAAGTGCCACATGTTGTGTTGGTGAAACTGCAGGTCCGATTGATACCCTGTGTTATCCGCAATTTGGTATAGCTATGGAACATGGCCCATATATATATATATATATATATATATTATACATACATACATACATGCATGCATACATACATACATACAAAATCATACATACATACATACATACATAATCATACATACATGCATGCATGCATGCATACATACATACATACATACATACATACATAATCATACATACATAATCATACATACATAATCATACATACATAATCATACATACATAATCATACATACATACATACATGCATGCATGCATACATACATACATACATACATACATAATCATACATACATAATCATACATACATAATCATACATACATAATCATACATACATACATGCATGCATGCATACATACATACATACATACATACATACATATGCGTACATGTTATCCACTGTGTAGTATTTAGATGGTGTGCATAGATGGTTTACATAGATCATGGTTTTCCCATTAAAACAATCATTTTCCGTAGCTATGTTGAATTACCAGGGGGGTGTCAACAGTGCTCAGATGTTATAATCCAATCATGGCGTGATGGCACCAGGTGTGACATCTGTGGTGGACAGTGGTTTGCGGAAGAGGCATTGGGATGGTTCAATTGGATGATACATATAAGAGACAGATTGGATATGCACACACACATATGTAATTACAAGTTTCTGTGTGCATAACACTGTTGAGCTGTACGCACATACATTATATTTATATTTATATTATACACAAACATATATATATAACTATATATATGTAACTATATATATCATATATCTATAGGCATGTGTGTGTGATGGAGAAATGGCCGCTGTGCTCTTCCCATTTCAACGCCTGTTGGAGAAGCCACGGCCAGGTCGGTCTTTGATCCTGCCGCTGGCTTCAATCGATTGGAGCTGGCTGGGGACTAAGTGCAGGGCACTCCGAGGTTTGAATGGGCTGGCAGAGAGCAAGTTTATTTAAGGCGACCCTTGGCACAAGTGGTGCAACCCACTTATTCTTGGTTTATAAGACCCTACAACTAGTTCGATATAGTTCGATATATCCCCCATAAACCCATGTGTTAGCCCATATATTTCCAATAAATTTAAACCGTTAGCCCAGTTACAGAATACAGAATGAACCGTGTTCGCCCCTGATGGAAGATGTCATCCAGCACCTGGCAGAGCAAGACAAAGACATCTCCAATGGTCAAGAACGGTGTGCTGTAAATGGTTCCCTTGGGTAACCAAACCAGTGATTTATATTGATTTTATCATTATTACCATTGTAGTTTCCTATATTATCATATATGATCATATATTACTATCATGATTTATCATATATGATCATCACTGTGTTTCCTGCACAGCAATTTGTAGCATGAAAGCATCCATTTTTGGGGTAGGCCTGACATGTTTTACCCTGAGACAGAAAGATGGAAGGTTACTCACTCCGGTGCTCTTCTCGAGTATGGTGAATTGTTTACTTTTTTCACATCATGATAATATCCAATTCTATGCCAGCAAAACATTCCATCAAATCAAATGCTTTAGTCTAAATCGGTTTTAGAGGTATCCCCAGTTATCCCCAGTTTAATTCATGGATCACTATCCCCTATGATATATATATATATATATGTATATATAGTGATACTAATACTAATACTATATTATATAAAACAAAATAAGTATATAATGACTAAAGCACACAAGTATAACTAGTCTGCAATTATTGCACTACAATAATTTCATCATGTAATAAATGTAATGTATATTATAACTCAGCAGTGTTCATATAGTAACAACCGTATTCAACATATCTAGTTCTCTCTGATCGGAAAGTCCGGTGTTCTCCAAGGTTCCCATCTCGAGGGCCTCAGCAGAGCAACGCAAGGGTCGAGCAGGTAACCGGTTGAACGATGTGAAGACTTGAGGATTTTAAGAATCCAAAAAGGGGAGTGGATTTAAAGGGATTTAACACATGACTTCAGAATGAAGAATGGCTATGGTTTAACAGCAAAACAACTACTGTAGAAGTTATAAGTTAACGATTGAAAATAGGGATCTGACATGATTTGAACATGAAACAGAGGATTTGGCGGAATCGCTTAGAACGCATTCCGCTTGGGCGCTTGAGAACCTTCCCTGAGCTCCTCATCCAACAGAAATCTCAGTAGTCCACGCCCGAACAACGAAATTTTGAAATATCTCGACATTGATTTTTCACTGCATCTAGGGGGACCAGCAACTGACATGATATTAGGGCTGATATTGGGGCCAACTTGGATGTGTTTCCCACTTAGTAAAGGTCGTAAGCCACACATCTCCCCGGATTTTTCCCCTGCAACGTGGACACCCAAAATTCATCGCTACAGGACGATTGCGAAATGGCCTATGTCTGGCAGCCCGGCCGCTGTTTCAAGTAATCCTTGGGAGATCTGTCTGGAAACGCTAGCAATCTGTCTGATGGCCCAACAGATCAAGCTCTGCGATTTCTTTTCAGATATCATGTATATATATAATTCATTATGTGTAGAAAGTTGGGGGTATGATAGACCACAGCCAAGCTGCGAAGCGTTTGTTTGGGCCCGGTAGGGGTTCAAACCTGCAATCTGGCAAATTTGTCAGTTCACATTTCAATCAAGATGATTTGGCTCATGTTGTTTGGGATGTTCACCGGGGGTACAAGATTTGGACCCTCTGTGGTTGAAAACAGCTTGATACGGATCTAAGAATGGGATGCTCAACACCTGGTGGTTTCAATATGTTTGAATCATGATGTCCACTTTCAATAATGTATACCCCATTTCTGAATAAGCCCAAATCATATAATGGTTAGCCATCTACTGTTTCATTATACCCTAATTGCTGTTGGTTGGTTTTACATCCGGCTTTGCGTTTGTTAAATCTTCATGCCCAAGTGGGTTCGTCTAAAAACGGCGTCCTTCAAAATCCATTTGTTACCTTGAGGCGAGCTAGCATAGATGTGGGAAATCACCATTTTAATAGGTAATTCATCCATACATGGTCCATTTTCCTATGTTTATCCTAGGGTAATCAACATGTGCCTTACTTAAATTTCCGTTTGGATGGTATAGCCCCACTTTCGGACACGCGCAAGGCTTGCGCCTGTGGGCACCGGATCAACAGCTGCAGCCGGAGGATGTCGGCTGAAGATGTTCAATTTTGTTCATATCCTGGAAGGTCATGGAACATCCCGAAAAGAATAGAACAATTGGGTATATTTGTAGAATATATATTTTGGGCTGACGCCCCTCGTCGGCTCCGCCGGACCACTCGGCCCTCCATTTCATCGCAGTGTGGGCGTGAAAGTTACTGAATGAGGACCTGCTTCAGAAATATATTCCTTAGGTTTTTTGGAACGTATTTGTTGGAATAGACGATTTTTTGGGGAGCAAGTGAGTTCCCGAAAGCTCCTGCGAAGGGTTTTTCCTAAAGAACTGCTGCCGATTTCAACTTGTTACTTCGTGTAAAGGCGCCTCTGTGCAAAGACTTCTCTGTGTAAAAGCTTTTGTGTGTAAAGTTTCTGTGTGTAAAAACCACTTTGTGTAAAGACTTCTTTGTGTAAAAGCTTCTCTGTGTGAAAGCACGTCTTTGTAAAGATTTCTCTGTGTGTAAAAGCTTCCGTGTATAAAAACTCTCTGTGTAAAGGCTTCTCTGTGTAAAAGTTTCTGTGTGTAAACGCGTCTGTGTGTTAAAGCTCTCTGTGTAAAGACTTCTTTGTGTAACAGCTTTTGTGTGTAAAAGCTCCAAGACGTTTGTGTGAAAAAGCTCCTCAGAGGAAAGACTTCTCTGTGTAAAACCTTCTGTGTGTAAAAAGCTACTCTGTGTAAATGTGTAAAAGCCCCTGCGTGTGTAAAAGCTTGCTGTGTGTAAACGCTTTGGTGTGTAAACGCTCCTCTGTGTAAAGGCTTCTCTGTGTAAAAGCTTCTGTGTGCAAACGCGTCTGTGTGTAAAAAGCCCTCTGTGTAAAGACTTCTTCGTGTAAAAACTTCTGTGAGTTAAAGCTCCTAGACGTTTGTCTGCAAAAGCACCTTAGAGTAAAGACTTCTCTGTGTAAAACCTTCTGTATGTAAAAAGCTCCTTTGTGTAAAGACTTCTCTGTGTAAAAGCCCCTGTGTGTGTGGGTAAAAGCTTCTGTGCGTCTCCTCCCTCCAGCTTTCTTTCGGGTCACGCTGTCGTCCAGTTTCAATCTGCAACGTTGTTTCTTGTGGAAGAGTGCAAAATAATGCAAAGAACATGTGAAAGCATCGCGCGTTTAAAAATTGAACATAAACAGCGCACAAAGTGCTGTAATTTACAGCATATTGCGCTGTCAGCTGGCAAGAACCCGCGTAAATACCACAGTTTTAGTCCCCCAAAGTGGCTAAAACACTGTTATTTACAGTGTTTCGTTCACGTCACGATCTTCGATTTTTTGGGAAACGCGTAAATACCAGCGTTTTTTGCGTTCATCAAGGCAAAACATCGGTTCAAAAAGTGCAAAAAATGCTGTAATTTACAGTGTTTTTTTGCTTTGCTTGCAAAAACACTGGTATTTGCAGTGTTTTATGCATCTCGAGTCCAAAAAGTATTGGTATTTACAGCATTTTCTGCGTTTTTGCATGGCTCCCGCAACAGAGGTTAAAACGCAAAAATGCTGTAATTTATAGCATTTTGTGACTTTCGAAAAGTTGAAAATCATCCGAAAAATGTCTCAAAACGGCGCTTTTTTCCGATTTTAGGTACCCTCCAAACGGGGGGGGGGAATGCTCTTGAAGACGCTGATGAGCGACCCGGATCCCGGCCAAAAAGCTCTCCCCCACCCTCCTGAAGGATTTTTGGTGTTTTTCGGGGCCCGGCGTCGGAGGGTCGGCGGTTGGGGGCGCGCCTCACCTTAGAGCTCTAGTCGCTCTGGGGCGCTCGTGGGGCAAGCCGCTCGTGGGGAGCCGGCGGGGCCGGGTTTGGGGGCCAACGCCCCTCGTCGGCTCCGCCGGATTTCTCGGCCCTCCATTTCATCGCAGTGTGGGGGCTGGAAAGCTTTTGGATGGGGACCTGCTTCAGGAATATATTCCTTACGTTTTTTGAAAAAAAAACATGGAACAGGAACTTTGTTGGAAATAGACGGCTTTTTTGGGGAGCAAGTGAGTGCCCGAAAGCTCCTGCCAAGGGTTTTTCCCGAAGAACTGCTGCCAATTTCAACGTGTGACTTCATGTCAAGACGCCTCTGTGCAAAGACTTCTCTGTGTAAAAGCTTTTGTGTGTAAAAGTTTCTGTGTGTAAAAACCACTTTGTGTAAAGACTTCTTTGTGTAAAAGCTTCTATGTGTGAAAGCTTCTCTGTGTGAAATGTCTGTGTAAAGATTTCACTGTGTGTAAAAGCTTCGGTGTGTAAAAACTCTCTGTGTAAAGTGTAAAGGCTTCTCTGTGTAAAAGCCTCTGTGTGTAAACGCGTCTGTGTGTGAAAGCTATATATCTGTGTAAAGACTTCTTTGTGTAACAGCTTCTGTGTGTAAAGGCTCCTAGACGTTTGTGTGCAAAAGCTCCTTGGAGTAAAGACTTCTCTGTGTAAAACCTTCTGTGTGTAAAAAGCTCCTTTGTGTAAAGACTTCTCTGTGTAAAAGCCCCTGTGTGTGTAAATGCTTTTGTGTGTAAAAGCTCCTCTGTGTAAAGGCTTCTCTGTGTAAAAAAGCTTCTGTGTGCAAACACGTCTGTGTGTAAAAACCCTCTCTGTCAGGCCTTCTTCGTGTAAAAAGTTTTGTGTGAAAAAGCTCCTAGACGTTTGTGTGCAAAAGCTCCTTAGGGTAAAGACTTCTCTGTGTAAAACCTTCTGTGTGTAAAAAGCTCCTTTGTGTAAGGACTTCTTTGTGTAAAAGCCCCTGTGTGTGTAAAAGCTTGCTGTGTGTAAACGCTTTTGTGTGTATAAGCTCCTCTGGCTGAAGGCTTCTCTGTGTAAAAGCTTTTGCGTGTAAAAGTTGCTGTGTGTAAAAACCACTTTGTGTAAAGGCTTCTCTGTGTAAAAGCTTCTGTGTGTGAAAGCTTCTCTGTGTGAAAGCGCGCCTGTGTAAAGATTTCACTGTGTAAAATTCTCTGTGTAAACGCTTCTCTGTGTAAAAGATTCTGTGTGTAAACGCGTCTGTGAATGAAAGCTATATGTATCTGTGTAAAGACTTCTTCGGGGAACAGCTTCTGTGTGCAAAGGCTCCTAGACGTTTGTGTGCAAAAGCTCCTTAGAGTAAAGACTTCTCTGTGTAAAACCTTGCGGCCAGGTTTTGGCAAAAACGGCCGTTTCCCAATGATCCCAGAAGAGAAATTCAATAGCCGGCCGAGGGGCCGCCAAATGGCAGAAATTTGCTTCCAAAAGGCTCCCGGCCAGGATTTGGCCAAAAACGGCCGTTTCCCAATGATCCCAGAAGAGAAATTCAATAGCCGGCCGAGGGGCCGCCAAATGGCAGAAATTTGCTTCCAAAAGGCTCCCGGCCAGGATTTGGGCAAAAACGGCCGTTTCCCAATGATCCCAGAAGAGAAATTCAATAGCCGGCCGAGGGACCGCCAAATGGCAGAAATTTGCTTCCAAAAGGCTCCCGGCCAGGATTTGGCCAAAAACGGCCGTTTCCCAATGATCCCAGAAGAGAAATTCAATAGCCGGCCGAGGGGCCGTCAAATGGCAGAAATTTGCTTCCAAAAGGCTCCCGGCCAGGATTTGGCCAAAACCGGCCGTTTCCCAATGATCCCAGAAGGCTCCCGTGTGTAAAAAGCCCCTTTGTGTATAGACTTCTCTATGTAAAAGCCCCTGTGTGTAAAAGCCTGCTGTGTGTAAATGCTTTTGTGTGTAAAAGCTCCTCTGTGTGAAGGCTTCTCTGTGTAAAAGCTTCTGTGTGCAAATGCGTCTGTGTGTAAAAACCCCTCTGTGTAAAGACGTCTTCGCGTAAAAAGTTCTGTGTGATAAAGCTCCTGGACGTTTGTGTGCAAAAGCTCCTTGGAGTAAAGACTTCTCTGTGTAAAACCTTCTGTGTGTAAAAATCTCCTTTGTGTAAGGACTTCTCTGTGTAAAAGCCCCTGTGTGTGTAAAAGCTTGCTGTGTGTATAAACGCTTTTGTGTGTAAAAGCTCCTCTGTGTGAAGGCTTCTCTGTGTAAAAGCTTCTGTGTGCAAACGCGTCTGTGTGTAAAAAGCCCCTTAGAGTAAAGACTTCTCTGTGTAAAAGCTTCTGTGTAAAAAGCTTCTTTGTGTAAAGACTTCTCTGTGTAAAAGCCCCTGTGTGTGTAAAAGCTTGCTGTGTGCAAATGCTTTTGTGTAAAAGCTCCTCTGTGTAAAGGCTTCTCTGTGTAAAAGCTTCTGTGTGCAAATGCGTCTGTGTGTAAAAACCCCTCTGTGTAAAAACTTCTTCGCGTAAAAACTTCTGTGTGAAAAAGCACCTAGATATTTGTGTGCAAAAGCTCCTTAGAGTAAAGACTTCTCTGTGTAAAACCTTCTGTGTGTAAAAAGCTCCTTTGTGTAAAGTCTTCTCTGTGTAAAAGCCCCTGTGTGTGTAAAAGCCTGCTGTGTGTAAATGCTTTTGTGTGTAAAAGCTCCTCTGTGTGAAGGCTTCTCTGTGTAAAATAAGCTTCTCTGTGCAAACGCGTCTGTGTGTAAAAACCCCTCTGTGTAAAGACTTCTTCGTGTAAAAGCTTCTGTGTGTAAAGGCTCCTAGACGTTTGTGTGCAAAAGCTCCTTAGAGTAAAGACTTCGCTGTGTAAAACCTTCTGTGCGTAAAAAGCTCCTTTGTATAAAGACTTCTCTGTGTAAAAGCCCCTGTGTGTGTAAAAGCTTCTGTGCGACTCCTCCCTCCAGCTTTCTTTCGGGTCACGCTGTCGTCCAGTTTCATCTGCAACATTGTTTCCAGTTTCAATCTGCAACATTGTTTCTTGTGGAAGAAGGCAAAGAACAGGTGAAAGCATCGCAGTTTAAAAAATTGAACATAAACAGCGCACAAAGTGTTGTAATTTACAGCATTTTGCGCTGTCAGATGGCAAGAACCCGCGTAAATACCACAGTTTTAGTCCCCGAAAGTGGCTAAAACACTGTTATTTACAGGGTTTCGTTCACGTCACGATCTTCGATTTTTTGGGAAACGCGTAAATACCAGCGTTTTTTCCGTTCATCAAGGTAAAAAATCGGTTCAGAAAGG